TTATGGAGCACAAACTTGCTGACACAAACCTGACGTGTGAATAGTGAGAGAATCTGGTTACGGCAAATGTTACAAAGCAGATGCATCCCCTTGCTCAGGGTAAACCTTTAAGTGAAATGGTTTGTCATGGATTTGTCTCTCTGATGCAAATCACACAAGCATATTAGATGTGCAAAGAAACCAGCCTCATATTGAAACAATTATCTCCACAAGCATATCACTGCCTCACTAGCGGTTAGAGGACATTTTCAGCATCATTTTCCCATTCTATAGCAAAGCTACTTCGTGATTTATGTTTAGGGTTTTTTTTTTCTTTAGGATGTCTGTTTTTCTCCTTCTGTGCCTCCCTTAAATGTTTTACTCAGAGTGTAAATCAGCCAAAGAGGAAGAGCTTTCTTCTAAGATGGCTCATCCTCAGTAAATGTCAGATAAACGGTAATGTGTAATTTCAGATTAAATCATGTGTCACTTTATCCAGGAGAAGTCAGCCTTTGATAGCATTAATGAGGCTGACACAAGGGCTGCTGGACACAATGAAGTCACTCAGACAGATCCATGTGAGAGCATAATTAAGGATAGTGCAAGAACAAGGCTGATAAGGACCAATCACATTTTTTTAAATGTTATTATGAATTCTTACCAAAGAATAATGAGAGAGAGCGCTCTGAAAAGCAGGAGGGAGCATGGAGTAAGGGTTGGAGCAAATGGCTAGCAATTAGCATATCTGGGTTCTATTCCCAGTTCTTCTTCTGAGCTGTTGAGTGAACACCTGAAAATTTGAGTGCCCAACTTGAGACAGTTGTGTCATGTGCTGGGGGCACAAAATTAATGTAGGTCACAGCTAATCTGAGATTCAGTACCTGCTAAAATATACTGTTGCCATTAAAATTATTGGTGTTGTCTCCTTTCTCAGTAGATGCTATTACTCCATTATTGCTTACAGTAAGTAGGTTACACCTCAGAGATCATGGAGACATTCAGTGCTTACAGAAGTATTTGTGATTATTTCAGTGGCAATCTAAGTACCTATCTCAAAGATGTCATAAAAATGAGAATGAATGTCTGTAGGGCACTTTGAATGAAAAGCATGTAAGACTGTAACCCCTCCTTGACCCAGTTTCAAACAAGCAGCTGGGACATTTCCAAATATCCCCAACCTTTTCTACTTCCTGTAAAATAATGTATGATGAGATCATGGGCTGCAGAATCAGGTCATGTTTCAGCATACCGGGCAGTTCATTTTAAAGAAAATGGGACTGGAAGTATTAGAATTATTCTATGAAATGCTGCCTCATGTGGTGGGATTTCACTACCTATCTTTTTCTTGCTAGTAACATTTAGGTTACAAGAACTGGATGGACTGGAGTAGACTGGAGTTTCTGTGGCACCCATCCTTCCTATTGTCTCCTCAGTTTGTGTATCCTGGATCTAAGTTATTTCTGTAGTTCTGTTGGTATCTGAATACATATCTGAATACATCATATTTAATATTTATACTTATAAGACAGCTCTGACATAGGGAATTCTTGTTAGCTCCATTTTACAGATGGGGATATTGAGGCAGAGAGAGACTAAGTGGTAGATTCAAATTGTTCCTTGTGCAGCTAAATGGGACTCAGCTAGAGTATAGCTCTACAACCCTTCTGTTGAAGCTGGGCTACAGGGCAGCCAAGAGTGCATGAGTCAAGGGTTCAACATGAGAGAAAGCAAGAGGCAGCATGTCTTTGTAGCCTAGTGGTTATGGAACTCCCCTGGGGGTGGGGATCCTGGTTCCTGCCTGGATTATTTTTGCTTATTAACCAATGGCTCTAATGTAAAGTGCATGACTATTCTTAGTAGCACGATGCACCCATCCCAGAGCAGTTCCAAAACCAGCATGCTACAGACACATGCTCCTTCCTGCTGACCCTCTGTCTGACCCCATAAATCTTGCCTCTTGGCTACCTAGTGGCTTGCCCTCAACTAGCAGGGTGGAAGTTGCTTCCACCCAGCCCAGCGCATAGTTGGGTACTTAACCACTCCTGGGAATTGAGAAAGGTAAGATTTAAGTCCCCTTAGGCTGAGGAAGGCCCTTAATCTAGGAGACTCACTTGCTTGGCAGGTGTTTTAACCAGTAGATCCCTGGGCAAAGGTCCTTTGATGAAATGGCTACCTACAAATGCATTTTATTTTATGGCCCTGGAGGTCTTTCTAGTCCTGTGTTGCAGAAGGTACACAGCACATCCTCAGAAATGGTCCTCAGAAACCATTAGGCAGCTGCCCTCAGGGGCATAATTCAGTGTTGTGATGCATCACATGAGGCAGGTACTTAAGCTTCTGAGAGGGCCAGGAATTTTAGATATTACTTTGTGCCCAGTGTTCTTCCACTCCCTCCAGGACGCATCTACACATGCTATTCATGCGCAGCAATAAACTCTGGAGCATATTGTACTGGAGTTTATTGCTCCCAGGAGCCGTGTTTGAACATGCACTTGGGACTGCAACACATTGAGCTGGGTTAGAGAAGCCTTGGCTGGTAGGAGGTCCCAGGGGCTCAGCCTGCCAGCCCCAGGGCTGCTCTAACTCAGCTGAACATGCTGCAAGGGTGCACCGGTGTGGGGCTAGCCAGCAGGCAGCTCCCACACTGAAGAACCCTTATGCCCTATAGATGGGTCTACACATGTGTTGCTGTGGAGTAAAACATTCTGCTATAGGATAGTCAGCGTATTTACAAGTACTACCCTGCAACGGAGTTAATTAGTTTACTCCATCCTAATAGCACTGTAAATGCAGACTCTGAGATGTTTACTGCAGAACTAATTAGGCAAATCAGAAGTAAATGTCTTATGTAGACGTGCCCGTCGGCACCTCCAACTTTCTGAATCACCTACCACTCCCCATTCCCTATGCAGAGTACCTAGAAAGCTCTAAAGTCTCTTTATTGAATTCATAGGGATCTTGGTACCTACTTTGATCCAGCAGTCAACGTCATGATTCAAGGTGTCTAATATTTAGGTATTCCAGGGCCTAAGTCTAGGCACATAATGAACTAAATTGAATCTAACCCTGTTCCGCCAAGGTCACACAAGAAGGCTGTGAGAGGGCAGAGAATTAAACCCATGTCGTTTGGAGTTTCAAGCTAATAGCCTAGCCATTGAACCATCATTTTAAGGTTATTTCAGTGAAGGATTAATGATCTTTCCATGATTTTCTTGCTCAGTTTTGAATTATCCTGTATTTTATATTTAATACTATTTTCAGGATTAACCACACCTTCATTTATCTAAGCACTCAAGCTATCTATGACAAGGTGACTCCAGGCTGGCATTCTCATTCAGCTCTTCTTTAGTGCTGACAATATGTTCCCATTACAATTTTGAGACTAGGCTTTCCTGGCTAAGATGGTAGAATATGAATAGTGATCTAGGGCTGGGGTGTCAAAATCACCTTCAGGCCCATGCCAGACCTAGAGCACAGGGGTCCCGTGCAGTCCAGATCTGGCCGAGAGCATGGAATCATGGCAGCAGCCACCACAGCTATTGTAGTAGCAGCTACTGTGGCAGTGGTTGTAGGAGCTACAATGGCAGCCATCATGTTTTGGTGGATTGCAGAGGTCAAGCGACTGTTGACCAGGCAGCCACTTGCCGTGGCAGGGGCTTGCAAGTAAAGCGGGGTAACTGAAGTTGATCTCTGCACACAGCTGCAGGACAACTGAAGTCTATGTTGCACAGTCCCTTCCTTGCCTCCCTAGTGCTGGGGACCATGTCCTGCAGGGCCCCAGATCCTGCAACAGGGCCCATCCACTGCTGGCCATGCCCCAAAACTCCCTGTCCCACTGTTAGATTGGTGGGCCAACTAAAGCGGCTCTGTGGGCCGTATGTTTGACGCTCCTGATCTAGGGGCTTTCCACATTCAGGTTTGTAGTTTCAGACATTTTAAGGGGCCTGCTTTTTAGAACAGATGTTCAGCACTTCATGAAAACCTGACCCCTTTTTGGAGACTTAAATGAGGTACCTTAAAATGATCCGTCACTTTTCAAATTTTGCTCTCTTGGTGATTTTTATCTGATGAAAACAGTCAGATGGTACTATATACTTCCTGTGCTGTGAGGATGGAAAATTCCACAACTCCATTTTTTGAACTGCTGGAAGCAGATGACTATTACTCTCAAAAAACATAACTCCAATCCCCATTATGGTAGCTACCTTTATATACTAATGGGTGGACTGGAAAGACACAAATATGTAATATGAAGGAAGGATGTACAATCAGCTTCTTTCAGGAACACCTGGTTTTCTCATGCTGAGCACATGGGGAAATAACCTGGAACCCTGAACTTTAATTTTCTGTGTTAGCATGAAATATTGCAGAAGTGTTGAATATGTTTTTAATAAGCGTGTGTCCTCACCTTCCCTAACTCATCTGAAGTTCTAGGCAGGTTTTCAGAATGGTATCTTGGTAACTTTCAGATGGACTTCAACACTGTCCCTTGGAAATTCAAAGGTGGTATCTTAACAAGATGTAGTTAGGACACTTCTGATCAGTGTTCTGGCTGACACAGTAACAGATCAGGCACAGTTTTGGGTATAGCCAAATAAATGGGTGAAGGTGGCATGCCTCCCATTTTTTCAGAATATGTGATAGACTCTGATGCACATAATTAGATTATGCTGACTCCCCAAGTTTGCCTGGCTGTGTGAATGGGGGCAATAGGAGATGCAGGTCACCTGGCTTTATCTCAGATTTCTGGCTATTTGCTTCAGTGGATATGAGACAAGGACAGATGTTGATAATAGTCCCTTATTCCAAAGAGGGAGACAGGAGTTTTGACTTAAGTGGGCTGTAGAGTTGCAGAGTATTGTATGCTCAGCCTAATTATTCATCGCTGGCAAATGGTATACTGCTATTTCAGCACTTTCACTTCTAGTGTCAATAATGTGCTGAATGAATTTAGGAAAGTTGTTACAACTTTTGAGGTGGGAATATTCTTTTTTTTTTATCATGACACCTGTTGCTCATAGGTACAAATCAAACGAAGAGTATGTGTATGTGCGAGGCCGTGGAAGAGGGAAGTATGTTTGTGAGGAATGTGGAATTCGCTGCAAGAAACCCAGCATGCTGAAGAAACACATTCGCACGCACACAGACGTCAGGCCATATGTCTGCAAGTACTGTAACTTTGCTTTTAAAACCAAAGGTAAGAGACAGTCAGCTCCTGGCTCCTCTTAGCACATTGGCTTACTGGTCAAATCTACCTGAGGGCACTAGTAGCAGGGAAGGAAGGGGCTTTCCCTGGTTGTGAAAAATCCTACAATTTGGAGGGGTGGGCAAGGGGAATCTGATTCACTGAATTTTTTTTAAGAGAAGTAATACTGAGTTAAGCTCATATGTATCCTGCCGAGTCACTTCAGAAAGTGGTGACTTCACTGAAGAGTTGGCCAGCAATACAGCTGCTGTGCCATCCTTTCTGTGAAAGAAAAAGTCCTGAAGCATAATTCCAACAGTGACTGAAGAACAGTGCCAGTGATTTGAAAAAACAGCAGCATCTGGCTGTAAGGAAACACATTTGATTCGAGATTCAAAATATTGGCTCCAACATTTTGTAGATAATTTTTGGGTGGCTCTTAATGCTAGTGCTCTCAAAGCCAGTATTTGTGCTGTAATATTTTCGCCTTTCTTCCTTGCATGCATCTGCAGAGGATTATGCATCATCTTAATAGACTCTTTTCTAAAAGACCATGCTTTCTAAAAAATTCTTCTCATTGAAGTACACAGGGACTCACAACCTTCCCACCCCCTGCTTTCCTATCAAACCCTCAAACTGACTCCATCATTATCACGATTCATGTGATCAGCTGTAATCAGTTGTGCTCTGAGAAGGTGACCGTTTCATCAAGAGTCTGTATAGCTCCAATTCCACTTCTTCATTGCATGACTGGAGCCAGTGCAAGCCCGTATGGTACAATCGTAAAAGTGGCTAAGTCTCGTGAGGAGTCTATAGGAGTTAGGTACCTAAATCACTTCAATGCTTTTTTTGAAAATGTTACCCATAAACTCTTCCTTAAAAGAGATCAGTCAGTTTTTTAGGGGTTTTGATTCTGATTCTCCAATTCTGCTAGGAGAGAACAGTAACCTTTTCCAGCTACTTTTGTATTATATCCAGAAAACTGTAGCTCATTTGGAAGACATAACCAACCAAGCAAAGTTTAGGATATAATCAAGCAGAGTAAATTGAATATGCAATTGTGCACCCATCTATCAAATTCCTGAATATTTAAATATGGTGAATGAACAATACCCAGTACTAATAGCTCTGTTTGTAAGGACAGTAGGTCACAATGTCATGGCTAATCACCAGAAGGCTAAAATACTGGATTTGAAGCCAAATTCTCCTCTCAGATGTACACAGCAGATCCGAACTGTGAATTCCTTCTCTCCCTATGCACGCGAAGCTCCCAGGTTTTCTTCACACTCATCTCTCTCTTCCTTCTCTGTTCATTCATTGCTTTCTTTCACTTCCTGCTGACTTTAGTTCTTTTCTGAGGATTTCCTTGGATAAGAGGGGAATTCACTCATTCTCTTTAGCCGCTTCCTCTTCTTATCGCCCACCTCATTTCTCTCAAGCTTTTCTTCACAGAGGGTGCTAGGATCAAACCATCGTTCTTGCCAGTTTTCCAGCAGCTTCCTTTCCTTCATCTCTGCTGTCCCAAAAGGTATAAACCATCAGTATACAATATGCCAGCGCGCTGTTGTTAATGGGACATCACCTTGGAAGTTCTTTCCTCAGTCTAAACATTTCTTCATCTTCTTCGAGAGGTGCTTGCTTCTGAAATAAAAAACACGTGGTGGGTCTGAACGTAAAACTGCTCTATCCCCTTCTATTTCCATGAATGCCTAGATCACAGAGGTGAAGAGCTGGGACGTGTACTAGCAATCGTATGAAAAGTATTTGCATGATAATGTCCTTGAAATTGTTTGAAAATTGATGACCTTGAAATTGTTTGAAAATTGTCTCTGCTGGAAGTGAAGTTACAGTGAGAACAGGCTATCTAAAACAGGCAATGTTTTACTATGTATAACAACTTGTTGTGTACCATTGGATCTCAGCCGCTTGCTGTACTGATGCAGACGTGAAGGTTTTAAAACACTTATGGGAAATCAGAATGGATTTTTCTCTGGTTTGGGGGCTGGCAATGAAATCAACAGATAAATTCAGGTTTTAAAAATCTTTGTGACTAATTAAAAAGTCTGGGGCAGTAAAGTTTGACTTTCAGATGCCGGTGGGGGGGTTGCAGAAGTGGTGGTCAGAAAGCTCATTTTGGACTTCTAAACTAATCTCACTGGGCCATGGTTTATAAGTAGCCTCTATTCTCAGATGCAGTTTTTGTGACTTCAGTTAATTGCAGGGCACAGCTATTAGACTGCTAGCTACCTGATTGCCTCTGAAGAAATACAAGCTGAGTTGAAGCTGTTTCCAAGCATAATTTTGGCTTTCAGTGTAAACACAAGAGGGATATCTATAGACCTGTCTTCATTTCAGTTGTTGTAGGTGTCTCTAGTATGAACTAATTCTCAAAAAGCTCAAGTCATTTGGAAACATGTTCATTTTACTTTTTTTTCCCTTAAATAACAATCACTCACTAGAGAGAACTCATTTTGGGGGACTTTGGGGAAGTGGGGTGTTGTTTTTTTGTGGTTTGTTATGTTTGTTCTGGGTTACTTGTTTTTTGCTACATTATAAAAGCTAGTATAGTACCAGTTATTTACTATTAATGCCATTTGTTTACTTTCTACATTTTTGACAATGTAGCCAATGCTATTGCACTTGGGTTGCAGACCTTCGTGGGAAATGCATGTTTGTTCGTTTAAAAGAAAGTTTGCCAGTGTTTTGGTTTTTAATGCACAAAAACAATGTTATTACATTTATGATGTATTAAGATCTATTTTACATAGTCTACCTCTGCTCCAAAGATGAATATATATTTTTAATGTGGTACCTTTACTTACAGTTTATGGGAATGTAGCACCTCAGAGTGCTAGCAAGCACTAAATAAAAGTGTTACCATGGTCTTTGTTAGTATTATTAGGAGGATGTTAACAAGCTTCTTATTTATATTCTTGCCAAAAAGGAGACGAGAAGAAGTTGCTTTCTGATCATTTTCTTTCACAGGAGAGTTTGGGAAAGTCTTTTCCTCTATGTGTTTCCAAAAAGAGGATGGAGGAACTACAGTTGTTTCTTTCTTCCCATGTGAATCAAAACCGTAACTCCATTGGCGGAGGGGTGAATCAGGACCCTAAGTCCGTTCATGGAGGGACAGCCATTTCACTCCACCCTTCCCTCTGCAACCTTTACAGGATCATAGATGAGTGTTAATTAGCTAAGCTTGGCCGAGTACAGATAAAATTCCATTCTATATCCATTTTCTATTCTTATGTACTAATGTACCAGACTCTCATATTCTGAAGAAACTTTTTAGTAATTTAACATGTGTACTCATAAAAGACATTAATTCCATGTTATCTGAAAACGCTAATTTCATAGTCTAGTCCACCCACCTTTTCCAGACACCGGACTACTTCTTGTCCTCAGCCATAGTATTCCCTTAATAAATTACTGTAGTTTGCAGTTCTTTAAATCAAAGCATGACAGGTAGTAAAGTTATTGAATGCATTGATGTTTGAAATGTGCAAAAAAATATTAAAGGCAATGTTATAATTACACGAATTGTTACTGGGCCAGAAGACTCAGTTATATGCTTTCTTGGAAACTAGAAAATAGATCCAGCTGGCTAGAAGCTAAGAAGGAATTAACTGGAGTTATAAACAGCAGATTGATATATAGATTTAAAAGATGCCGTAACATCCTGAATACACTAAGGCACTTTCTATGAGCTTGGGAAAATATTTGAATGTTCTTATGGAACCCTCTTTCCCCGCTGTTTAAGAAGTTCTGTTAGTTAAGAAATGAAGTCATCCTGAGGAAATGTATCTATAGTCCCTTGTGCAATGTTGTTCACATGGCATTGGAAGTCAGAAAATCACCCCCAATCCATGAAAGAATTTCAGTGAAAAAAAACAACTTTCTAAATGAAAAATAGGGAGAGAACAACAGGTACTAAGAAGCCCCTTGATCTATCAGAGAACAGCAGAACAAAACCCAGTGGCAGGAAATGAAAGCCAAGTTAATTTAGAAACAAGTCAGTTTTCTTTTTAATAGTAAAAATATTAAATTTTGGAACCGACCACCATGCAAAGTGGTGGATTCCCCATATTTTGAAGTTTTCATATCCAAATGTGATGCCTTCTGGAACACATGCTTTAATGAAACACCAGTTATTGAACTTTGCACAAGGGTACCTGACTGAAATTGTATGACCTCTCTTATGCTGGAGGAGAGATGAGACGACTTAAGTGTCTTTTTGATCTTAATAGCTATGACTCTATAAAATAATAAAAAAGCTTTTAAAATAATTGAAATCCTAGGCATTGTACAATGATATAAAATAGAGTAGTGCTTGAAGTATGTTCAGTCTTGTGCAGAGATAATAGTGAGACCCAGGCATCACTTAAAGGCACAGAACACATCCCCTATTCTGACAGCATAGATGGGATGGACTTACCTAGTGGAGAGTATTTTGGATCTTAGTAGATTTCATTCGGGAGTGCTTTTATATGTAGAATCATTTTTAGTTGTAGATTCTCCATGTGCATTTATTTCAATAATAGAAATATTAAAATGTATGTGGCAGGGCATTTATTTCAATAATAGAAATATTAAAATAATATAAATTCCAAAAAACAGTTATGACTCTTAGCACAGTGTCATGTTGGTCAGCTTAAGGTTGCATGCTTGGGACTGCACACTTGGGATGGAACTCTGTTTTCCTTTGTGCACCCAAATGGCAGCTTTTTAGACACAAGTGCCAAAAATATCCATTGCAAGCAGGTAGAGAAAGTGCGTCTATGTGTAAACTAAGCATGCTCAATTGATTGTGCTCATAGGAGGCCATAGACTCATCTACAGCTTGAAACTGTAGATGGCTGGAAACCCATGAATAGCAAGTGTTAGACTCTTGGGGCTTAATTATAAGATTTCCCTCTGGAGCTGAGTGATTGGGGTACTTACCTGGGAAGCAAAATCCCCAGGTTCTAGCCTCCCCTCTGCCATAGAGAGGGTTTGGGTATTTCTCTCTGACT